GTCACGTAAGGACAGATATCGCTGAAAACGTCAGAAGAAGATGCTGATGCGATCGATGGAATATGACGTTTATTGGCCTGACGTATCGTGTGCTGGTTCGAAGTCACCATTAAAAACAGTCGCAGATAAGGATGAGTGCAGTATTTGGGAGACGCCGTTGCCCTGCCATCACGGGCCCAATCCAAGTAGCAGGAATTACTGAAAACGTTCGCGTTCCAGGTAGTTGCATGGAAGTGGAACAATGGTTGTCGAGCACCGGATCAATTTGTTAATTGTTCTGAGCTTTCGGGCTCTTGCGGGAGTCCATTGTCAGAGATAAAACCGTCCACGAATGGTGAGTAACAGTTATAGGGGGTAGCAGCCAATCAAACGTCATAAGGGGGAGGGAAAAGGAACTCAGTAATCTCCATTGTCGGCCGTGTGGATATTCATATGGAGGGCGATGTATGCGGGCGCCAGCAGACTACATCTCTTCACTGGGTTGTCACTGAGGCCCAATTAGCGGGTCCCGCATTCACCGCTGGTGATCGTGCATGAGGCGATGATTGCTCGTTAGTTCGCGTTCTAGTTTCGCAGTGGATTAAGTAATTTAAACCCTAGCAACTGCGATCTTCAGGCCCCGTTCCTTAGGAGGGGAGGGATATGTCATAGGAGGACAGAGTGGTAGGAAGAGTTTGTTCTCTACAGAAGGAATGGGAGAGCAGGCAAGGGGAAATTGACTGTCACACGACCGCACAGCCACAAGCCAGCAGACGGCGTCTGAAGTTATGTCTCCTCGGCGGTCGCCACATTAGGTCCTGTGTGAGTCGGCCTGTGATTGGCTGTTCCAGAGACCGGAAGCAGCAAGCACTCACAAGTGCATTTCGTGTGGAGCTAGTCAATACACTTGTCAATACACGATATTTCAACACCGTCCTGGCTTCTTGGAGTAACGATCAATCGACCATGTAACTCACTATCACTGGAACTCTTAGCTGTCCGCGTTCTCCACGCATGGCAAATTAGTCCGACTAGACATAGAATAGGGTGAATAAGTGAAGTAAGTTGCATTCCG